TCCTCCCTCCAAGGTGTACAATATGAACAGGCTGATCTCTGTGTGCATGGTCACAGACAGGGTTCCACAACCCACCTGGCAGCAGTGGATAGAGAAATTACAGAACAAGATGAACAAGATCTGCACAGGGCTACTATTTCTCTCAGTATGCTGGTATTCATAATTCCACAATACAACAGACAAGTAGGTACACACACCAAAGGCTGTGGCAAGGGGGGGCTGGTGCTAGAAGACCAATGTGTGACAGTGCGTTGGCTTCACCTAGTGGCCAAATAGGGAAGCAGCAACCTGGCTTCCCAAAACACCTTTAGCGTCTTCACCCGATTGCCTCCACACACCTGGTTCAGCGTTGTTATAGACTGAGTGTACAAAACATTAGGAACACCTTCCTAATATGGTGTTGCACCCCCTGTTGCCCTCAGAACAGCCTCAATTCGTCGGGGAATCTACAAGGCGTCGAAAGTGGTCCACAGGGATGCTGGGCCCATGTTGACTCCAATGCTTCCTACGATTGTGTCAAGTTGGCTGGATGTCTATTCTTGATACATACGAGAAACTGTTGAGCGTGAAAACCCCAGCAGCGTGGCAGTTCTTGACACTAACCGATGCGCCTGACACCTACTACCATACCCCGTTCAAAGGGACTTAAATCTTTTGTCTTGCCCATTCACACTCCGAATGGCACACATACACAATCCATGTCTCATTAACCTGTCTCCTCCCCTTCATCTACACTGATTGAAGTGGATTTAACAAGTGACATCAATATGGGATCATAGCTTTCACCTGGATTTACCTGGTCAGTCTGTCAGGGGTGTCAAAGTAATTCCACGGAGGGCCTGGTGTCTGCAGGTTTTTGTTTTTTTCCCTTTAAATTAAGACCTAGACAACCAGGTGAGGGGAGTTCCTTACTAATTAGTGACCTTAATTCATCAATCATGTACAAGGGAGGAGCGAAAACCTGCAGACACTGGGCCCTCTGTGGAATGAATGACACTTGGGCTTTGTCATGGAAAGAACATGTTTTGTCCACTCAGTGTATAACAGCCCAGACTAGGTAGAGCCAGGTGGCAAGAGTGAACTGTGTGCTGCTGTCAGCAACCAGCCTCTGCATCATTTCATTCAAGCACCAACAATTCATGCAAATAAGACAGGAAACTCAACTGCTTTCTATATTTTTATTGCAATGATAAGATACAGATATACTTCCAGACAACCAATTAATGACATTATATTGCAATATTGCAAGAGACAGTCCTCAATGATATTGATCCAAATATGAACTACTAAGTGACTAAAGACATTTTGACCAGATAAAACGTTATCTTCCTTTTTCTTCCAGAAATGTGACAGAATAAAGCAGTATAGATTAATACTACAATTTACAACAGATTGATACTGTGCAATAAGAACACTCAAGAACAATTTGAGATTTTCATGAAATAGTTCGTAATAATACAGCTACTGGCAACTTGCTCTCCAGAAGACATCAGGAAACAGAAAAGCATTGAAAAATAACCCAAACAAAGATACAAAGAGACAAACTACACAGCGTGTTGTTGTAAGTAGTACACTTGTCCTGTACAAGAGCCACACGCCGTTGAATAAAGTTCAGGGTAACACAACGATGAAGAAGAAACAAGCTGGAGATCTACAGAGGTCAACAAGCTGGAGATCTCCAGAGGTCAACAAGCTGGAGATCTACAGAGGTCAACGAGCTGGAGATCTACAGAGGTCAACGAGCTGGAGATCTCCAGAGGTCAACAAGCTGGAGATCTACAGAGGTCAACAAGCTGGAGATCTACAGAGGTCAACAAGCTGGAGATCTACAGAGGTCAACAAGCTGGAGACCTACAGAGGTCAACAAGCTGGAGATCTCCAGAGGTCAACAAGCTCGTACCCTTTTCACACTACTGAGCCGTTCACAAATCTGTACTACGCCCGCCTGGTTACGCATCCAGCATAGTTCCAGGAACCGGCCAGCACTATTGTTCGGGTCGGCAAGATGGTGGTGAAAAGGGTACGAGCGTCTGGAAGATACTCCTCAGTCTAGACATTGGGTCCATCTGTGTAGAGCAGGGGTGTCAAACTCATTCCATGGAGGGCCTAGTGTCTGCAGGTTTTTGGTTTTTCCTTTCAATTAAGCCCTAGACAACCAGGTGTGGGGAGTTCCTTACTAATTAGTGACCTTAATTCATCAATCAAGGACAAGGGAGGAGTGAAAACCCGCAGCCACTCGGCCCTCCGTGGAATGAGTTTGACACATGTGGTGTAGAGAGTGTGGGATATCCGAATCATCAAGTGACTTTTTCCCCCCTTTGCTCTCACAAGCTCTGCTCTACCATTCCACGGTGGGGAAAACTTTCCAGCCTGAACATTTTGTGTGGAACAGTATTATAAAACGTTATGCAATGCTCTGCCAATGGGTTTCTCAACCACAAGTTAATCATTCACTATTCTTATGGCAAGAAACAAAACATGTTTGTGGGACTTGCAGTAAGTAGCAACATAGAAAAACTAGCAATATAAATTACTCTACACAAAATCAAAGAAATGACAAAATCGATCAATATCAAATAGGAAAAAAATAGGTAGTCCATCTGATCATTTATATCCACACATTAAATATTCAAAATTTCTGGTGTGTGACAGTCCCCAATAATGACAGTACAGTACACTCTTGACAATATGCCTATTGGTGGTCAAAATGATAGTAAAAAAGTATAATAAAGCAAATAAACATTACGCTGAAAAGAAAAAGTTGTGATACCCCCCCAAAAAAAGGATTCTGTTCAAGTTGAACAAATTGGGTTCATAATTTATCAATTCATCAAAATATATTTGATATAGAATTCCTTATATAAATGACATCTCTTTATATTTTTTTTATATCGTCCTCACTAGCATCTAAAACAACTCTAGACAAAAAATAACGTAACTTTACGAACGGACAGTATTGGACCACAGCCCCCCATAATGCAACACTAGAGAGGAGAATTGGACCTCGACCCCATTGGTTTCTGATGGAGTCCCCATGCATTCACAGTGGTCTCCTTCGCTGTCAGTTACTCTGACTAGAATACCAATGAAGCCAACACAACAAAAGCTATCATGAAAGTATGGGCATCCCGAGTTGAACTGACAACACTATTATAAGCGATCGTAGAATGAGTATAGTAAGCTTGAGGACATATTGTCTGCTTTGCATGGCTTGGATATAATTGAAGGGAGAAGGGGATTTAAGTCGCATGTCACGAGTGTCTCAGCTCCTATACTGCACTGCGTTTATAAGGTGTAAAAGGTTTGGAATTTGACACAACCGTTACAAAAATGAATAATATGTACCAAAATCCCTTGCTGACACTTTTGACATGTCTTCCCGTATGAAAACAGCATGCATTGTAACAACAATTAACGTGTTTGGCACTTTCATTTCGATGTCTGATTCTAAATGGTGAATACAAACTTTAAAACAGGTTTTCCCATTCCATCTTTGCTGTCTGCATGTGTGTGGCCTCAAAAGAAATTAAGTTCTTCTAGAAAGCTGTCTCTCAAATTATATTATTTATATATTAGTTATAGTGGCGTAGCCAACGGTTGGTCAATCGTAACGTTCGATGGCTGCCTAGGAGAGATCAGACTCACTCTCATAAAAACAAGAGCTGAACTGTGTACAGAGGGCCAGTTGGCCACTGCTAGTACAGGACCGTGGCCCAGTTGGCCACTGCTAGTACAGGACCGTGGCCCAGTTGGCCACTGCTAGTACAGGACCGTAGCCCAGTTGGCCACTGCTAGTACAGGACCGTGGCCCAGTTGGCCACTGCTAGTACAGGACCGTAGCCCAGTTGGCCACTGCTAGTACAGGACCGTAGCCCAGTTGGCCACTGCTAGTACAGGACCGTAGCCCAGTTGGCCACTGCTAGTACAGGACCGTAGCCCAGTTGGCCACTGCTAGTACAGGACCGTGGCCCAGTTGGCCACTGCTAGTACAGGACCGTAGCCCAGTTGGCCACTGCTAGTACAGGACCGTAGCCCAGTTGGCCACTGCTAGTACTCAGCTAGTACCGTAGCCCAGTTGGCCACTGCTAGTACAGGACCGTAGCCCAGTTGGCCACTGCTAGTACAGGACCGTGGCCCAGTTGGCCACTGCTAGTACAGGACCGTAGCCCAGTTGGCCACTGCTAGTACTCAGCTAGTACCGTAGCCCAGTTGGCCACTGCTAGTACAGGACCGTAGCCCAGTTGGCCACTGCTAGTACAGGACCGTAGCCCAGTTGGCCACTGCTAGTACAGGACCGTAGCCCAGTTGGGTGACAATGGACCAAAGTACACGGTCGTGTTCAGTAGGAACATGTGTTTATTTTGTTACCGTGTTTCACGCCTACTGGACACAACCCTGGGCTTAGCCTTACCATGACTGTACAAATCGCACGTTGTTCATAAGACAAGGTCTGGATTTAAGGGGTAGATAGACAAGATGGCAGTAATTCGCCTAGTAAAAACAAGGATTCCATAGCTCATTAATTCCCTCATCTGTGGAAATTGACAAGAGACTTTGCCTCACAACAAAAACAAGACATACAAGGGAAGCATTGCTTCTATAGTAAACATGTAGAGTGGACGAGTCTGAACTAGAATGATCTGGGATAACAGTCATAACGCAAGTACCGGAAAAATAGGGAAAACATCAGGAGAACCAACGTGACAACTTCCTCAGACAAACACATCTGTTAAGTTAATAGTTTGCATTTCTCAGTTTAAATAATATGGGGATTTTAGAACCACAATAAGGCTTCTCTTTTCCGTTGTTATAGCCGTTTGCTTTGTGTCACCGGTGTCGATACTCAGACAGACGTGACATCTGTATAGTTGGTGGAAGATCGGAGCAGACAAGATGGGGAGGCGTCTCCTCAGCGAGGTTGACGAGACCTGGAGGAGGTGGGAGGAGGTCCTTGGAGGAGCACTAGGGTGGAGGAGAAGGAGGTGGCAGTGATAAAATATTTATGTTTGAACAGGCAAGGGCTTTGTCTCACCGTCTCCCTCCTGCTCTTCCCTCTCTCCTCCTTCCTTCTCCCCCTCTCCTTCCTCCCCCTCTCCTTCCTCCTCCTCCTCTTCCTCTTCCTCCTCCGTGTGCTGCTCTAGCTCCTCGCGGGTGATCATCTCAAAGTCGTTCCCGTTGCTGTGCTGCGAGCCCTCGTCCTCCCGCCGGTCGCTGTCCGTGTCAGAGCGCTCAGCCCCCTTCGTCACCTCGCCTTCTTCCGTCCCCTGTGGCACCGTGCCCTCTTCTCCTTCACCTTCCTCCTCTTCCTCCTCACAGTCACCCTCCTTCTCCTCGCTGTCTGACTTCTGGGCCTTGGCGGCATCTGCATCGCTGGTCTTGCCCTCAGTCTTGTCCTGGCTCTTCTTGCTAGAGCCCCGCGGGCCCTTGTACTCGTGCGTGTAGAGCGGACGGAAGGAGTCGATGAAGCCCACATCAGCTGTGAGGTTGGGCAGGAACCAGAAGTGGTGGCGTCCGCCCGTCACCAGCCAGATGACCAGGAACAGGATGCAGCGAGCTGCGGGGAGACAAACAAACATTGTCATGTCAAAGTGAAGGCCAACAACTAACGTCAATGGTGCTGAGGGGAGGGAATCCTGTGACATCTGCAGTTTGGTGCTCTGTCACCCATTTTGACTAAAGTCTCTAGGTAAACCCACCAGATAAATTATTAAAAAGGTAAAAGAACAAAACGTAATTTCGACTTTTTACTGGAATTCCCCTTTAAATGGATACCGCAAGATTCTGGCATTTAATTGGCTCGCGAAACTACGACTAAGTTCCTTCATACTGCACACAGACATAAAGAGATATGGTATCCATGAGTTCATCTGACTAAGTAGAACAAGGGCCTAAATGCCAGAATCTCGCAGTGTCCCTGTAAGGGTTGGATAGGTGTATTAGCAATATGGTGATCACATGCACAGGGTCACAGATGTAATTGCAGGGTACCGTGAATTCTTAAGCTGTAACAATGATACATGTACATTTGTGGGGGGTGCTGCCATGCTGCTCCTGTACTGCCCGTGTCTGAGTGATGCAAGCGGGGAGAACAGGCCGTGGCTCGGGTGGCTGAGGTCCCTGATGATATTTTTGTCCTTCCTGCGACACCTGGCTGTGATGCCGTACCAGGCTCTGATGCAGCCCGACAGTAAGCTCTCGACGGTGCTCCTGTAGAACACAGAGCCCTCGGAGACAGGAGGCTGAAGAAATTCAGCCTGAGGTTGAAGAGTCGCTGTCATGCCTTCTTCACCACGGTGTCCGTGTGGTTTGACCATTTCAGCTTCTCAGAGATGTGTACACCGAGGAACTTGACGTTTTTGACTGTCTCCACGGCGGCCCCGTTGATGAGGATGGGGCGTGCCCAGCCTGGTTCCTCCTGAAGTCCACAATCAGCTCCTTTGTTATGCTGACGTTGAGGGAGAGGTTGTTTACCTGGCACCATGCCATCAGAGTGCCAACCTCCTCCCTGTAGGTCGTCTCATCATTGTTGGTGATCAGGCCTACTACTGTTGTGTCGTCAGCGAGCTTGACGATGGAGTTTTAACTGTGTGAGGCCACGCAGTCGTGGGTATACGGTGAGTACAGGAGGGGACTGAGGACCAGTGTTTCCTCTGCGTTCATTAATGTGTGGCACTGCGCCACACCAAAATAAACACCATTTTCTACCAAACATAGTTTCAATAAAGTTCTGTAAAGCACATTCACTTTTCTTGGTAAATAGATAATCTGTCTGGGTTCAACACAGTTCTGAAGGTTACTTAGCTCTGTGAGCTATGGCAGGCAGCCTGCAACTCAATAAATAGCGCGCCAGTGACCAGTGCTCAATACAGATGCTCTGCGGCGCAAAACACAATTCACTTGAAATCACTAGAATGCACCTGCGCGAGAAACGGCACGCCAGGGACCAGTGCGCAATACAGAAGCTCTGCGGCGCCAAACAATTCACTTTAATCACCTCAGAGTGCACCTGCGTGAGAAGCTGCAAGAAAGGTACGTTCGCTTGTTTGTTTGACTAACGTTAGCTAGCCAAATAGTTAACTACATAAGCTAGCTATAACCAAAAAACTCTACTAACATCATTTAGATCTATAATATTGATGCCACAATTGTAACGGCAATTATCTATCCAATATCCACAGTGTATGTTGATGATAGAAACATGGTTAGCTGACGTTACTAGTCTAGCAAGTTAGCTAGCTAGTTCGTTTGGAACTGTATCAAGTGCAAGCAAGATAGCTACATTTATCTGTCTTCGATTATAATTTTTTGCTCAGATGAGTTTATTAAAATATTTCCAGCCACAGCAGCAAAAGAGAAAGGGGGAGCAGGGACAAGAGTGTCATGTAACGTTAACTTAGCGAGCTAATGTCAAATCAGCCTGAATTAAATGAAACTTTCTTTAGTTAGCTAATTGTAGCTAACTCCGTTCCGTACATATGTGGGCAACCACGGCATTCAAACGAGGCTGCAATGACAACTAATGGGACTGTAGCGACTGTGTTGGCATCTAAATCTGGGGTGTGAACTAAGTTTCGATTCAGCGTTGATTGACATGGTAATGGTCCAATAGCATTGGATAAAAGTTGAAAAAAACTGACCCTGCACGTTTAAGTGTGACATGTCATTTATATTATTATTGTTATTATTATTATGCATTATTCAACTCATTCTGTGCCGTACAGCCTCTTTCCACCAGGTGTAACGCTTCTCTCACAGATTAAAAACAAGAAATGATCAATGGTGAGTGTAAAGTTAATTACTTGGGAGTTCATGTGGTCCTCTGTAGCTCAATTGGTAGAGCATGGCGCTTGTAACGCCAGTGTAGTGGGTTCGATCCCCGGGACCACCCATACGTAAAAATGTATGCACACATGACTATAAGTCGCTTTGGATAAAAGCGTCTGCTAAATGGCATATTATATTATGAATAGTTAATTCAATTAATTGTAAATTTTTCACGTAAATCACTGAGAGCCATCATGACTCTGTGACACCCACAGTTTAATTGTGAAGATACATTTTGCGCCGCCCTAAAAGCCCTATTCAAAAATCCACACAAACCTTCAAATAGGTATGAAATTTTAGAGGTGATAAGTTGGACAAATCGGGTGAAAAAAGCTGGTTCCCCACACGACATATCTCCCCCTTTCACTATGACGCAGTAGCTTTCGTTTCCCCACCCTCCATTTAAAAAAAGACCCCGCGGAGCGCCGTTGCTTTCTTCAATCATGCAGAGACGGGCAGCATGAAGGTCTCGTCATTGACTTTGCTGGAGGGGAGAAAATGTGCTTTACAACGGTATTCATATTACAGTTGACCTGGAAGTATTACGTTTTTGGGGCGATAAAATAAGGTCAAGTGTACGGAACAGCGTGATGTACAAAAGTGCTTTAGCTACCGTTAACTCTTTAAAAGCTTAAGCTATCATTTTTATAACAAGTGTATGGCTTACTTTACTAGACAGAGAAGAGGCAGAATTCCGGGAGTGGGGTAGGGATGCATGAGGGACAGAATGGAGCAGAGGAGAGGAGAGAGCCAGGAGGGTAGATGGAAGGAGAAAAGGAGAGAGGAGAGCAGAGAGAAGAAAGATAAGTAAATAAAGGAGAGGAGAGGAGGAGGCTGTAAACTCTGTCAGAACTAGGTTGTCGTCAGAACCTGGAAAGAGATTTCCAACGCCCTTCTTTTGTGATGAACATGAATTAGTGGGCTCTTATTCATGTTCAATCAAATGTTAATTTTGTCAAGATAAACTTTTTTATTTCAGAAAGAAGGTCTATGTTGTGTTTCTTTAGATAGCTGCAGCACTCAACCTTAAATTGCATACTGTACACTATAATCACTTTACCAATACGTTATTGAGCTCATTTCTGGGGTTGGAAATTATATTTCAGAAGGTTTATTTGAGTTATTTCCTTTTAAAAAGTCACCAGAACCAAGCTTTTCAGTACTTATACATATTTTGTTTTGGGGTCAGAGGACCCCGGGACCCCCCCCCCGCAAACTTTTCCCTCACAGCTAACACATTTTCCAGAGGAAACACTGCTGAGGACGCACCCTTGTTGAAGCTCAGTGTAGATGAGGTCATGTTGCCTACCTTCACCACCTGGGGGGCGGCCCATCAGGAAGTCCAGGACCCAGTTTCATAGGGAGGAATTCAGTCCCAGGGCCGTGAGCTTTGTGGTGAGCTTAGAGGGCACTATGGTATTGAAGGCAGAGCTGTGGTCGACGAACAGCATCCTCACATATGCATTCCTTTTGTCCAGGTGGGTAAGGGCAGTGTGCAGCGCAATGGCAATTGTGTCAACCAAGGATCTGTCTGGCGGTAGGCGAATTGGAGAGGGTTGAGTGTATCGGGGAGGGAGGAGGTCATGTGGTCTTTGACTAGCCACTCGAACCACTTCATGATGACAGAAGTGAGTGCTACCTACGTCCTCGGTGGAGACCGTAAGCACATAGTCTTCAGGGGCTCGTCCGGTGTTGGTGTCTGCAACGTGACTGGCTTTCTTTTTGTAATGTGTGATCGTTAGAAGCCCCTGCCACATAGCCTTCGTGTCCGACCTGCTGAATTGCTCCTCCACTTTGTCCCTATGCTCATGTCTCGCCATCTTGATCGTACTTGTACTGTTTAACTGGTCACCTTGCCCTGTTTATAAGCAGCATCTCTCTCCTTCAGTTTCCCTACAAGGCTGCCATCAATCCACGTTTTTTGATTCAGGTAAGTTTTGAAAGACACCATCGGTTTCACATCATCTCTGCATTTTTTTATGAATCCGGTGACTGTGTCGGCGTATTCATTGATGTTATCCCCAGATGCGACCTGGAACATATTCCAGTCCACGTGATCAAAACAGTCTTGGAAGCATGGATTCTGATTGGTCAGACCAGCGTTGTACAGACCTGACTACCGGAACATCCCTTTCGAGTCTTTGTTTGTAGGTGGGAGGAGCAAAATGGAGTCGTGGTCCGATTTGGCGAAAGGAGGACGAGAGAAGGCAATTCTACCTAGCGTATTAGGACAAGTTGTCGCCACCGTATTGATTTACGCTATCCAATCTTTTTAGTTGTACACAAGGGTCTAGAGGTTGGACGTTTTCTTTCTTACCAACAGCCAACAGCAGTATACTGGCCACGAAACAGCCTGCTGCCACGCTCAGATAATACACGCCCACACGCATCTCAGCCGGCCACAGTGGGAAGAGAGTGGCCGCAATCACTGCAATTACTGTAAACACAGAGACACAGGCCTTAGTACAGTGGAAAATAATCATTGATATTCCCATTAGCAATTCATAGGGATGGGCATTTGAAATGTTTTGTACTCGCACAATTCCCCTCCCACCCTCCCGAGTTCTCAAATAAAAAAGCAATTTTTAAAACACAAGGCCAGCACTGGAAAAAACGCGTGCATTTATAGCTGTACGCCAATCAGTGCGCAACAATGCCTGATTTATCATAACCATTACAGAATAATCCTAATTGCTAAATTGCCCCATACATATTCAGTCAATTAAAAAACAAGTGCCATTTTAAGATGAATTTATTGAAACCGTAATATTAACTGATTATATTATATAGCAGAACACAATCTTCAAAAAGGTAGCAGTAGCCTCAGTGGTGGCGCTTGCTCGTAGAAGCCTATGGCTGTTTTGTTAATTTCCAGAGCCCTTATCACAGTCAACAGACTCCTATTTTATAGTAAAAATCATGATGTAATATAACAGAATAAAATATTTTTCCAAATGAAAAAAAGTTGCCAGTGCGAATTGATGCACATCTCACATCTAGAACAGTTATTCTCAAAGAGTGATCGTTTGAAACTGGGCTCAATTTGGAGAGTTGAAAGACAATTTTTTTTCAGGGTTACAAACCAAAATCTGTCTTTTTGATATAGAGACGTTCGATTTGGATCAACAATTCCACATTGAACAATGCATGGGGATGAATTGCGGACAAGACATCTGTTTAGCGAGTAGGCTTAGGCTAAATGATTGAAAATATGCTGTCTTTATCAAACTCATGTTTTTGGATATTTTCACGGTCTATGTTTAGAAGTGTTATAGCCTAGGCTAGCCAATTCTAAATGGCACTAGTAGTTCGCAAAGTAGCCTAACTGGAAAATAGACGGGACGCAATTAGTCCAAAACTGCAACGCTCGTTGTTGGAACCACATATTTCCCTACTTCAGTCAACCAGTCCATTTTGTTGTCATTTGGCAAAGAATGTAGCTGGTGTATCCCATCAGTTAAGATACATTTTTATAGGCATTTATTTCTGTAGGCCTAGTGGAGTTTGTGTGCTCATTCAGCACACGTGTAGAGGGAGTGATCGTAACGCAATTGAGTTAGTGAGACACGGAGGGGAAAGGGAATTTAGGAAGAACTGTGTGATGCTTGGCTTGGTCTTTAAGACAACATTTCGACCTCTCGTTAAAGATGGAGTTTTGACGTCTGTTCCAGTACTCGATTACTCATGTCCATCCCTAGTCCAATTCAGTTGCAATTTTCAGTCATTTGTGAATGACGGTTAGTTTAATCAGTTATCAAAATGGACTATTCTATGTAATTAAAACTACAATTCCACTCACCCAGAATCAGTCCCATGGCAAAGGTTTTAAAATGGACTGGATCGTAGATCCAAACAAATACCTGGAAAGTGGAGTAAATATGACGATTTTACATTTCACCTTAGAAATAGTTTTTTTTTTAATTTGTCAATCACAGTGATTCACCGTTTTCACATATCACATGTCACATTGAACCTTTTGCCATCATATCATGCTTGCATGGCAAACTGACGCCACAAAGAATGTGTCTCTCGTCATGGAGAATGTGTCTCGTAAAGTGCACCCTCAAACAGTTATCTTGTGAAAGTAAGCCATTTTGCTTGGAATTCTCTCAAATGTCACAGGGAAAAACAAACACCAATGTGCTGAATTCATGCACATTGCACAAAGTTCAGAATGATCACCATCTTTCAAAGCGGATATTCCAACAAAGACCTCTGGCTAAAGACGTTCTCTACATGTCAACTGAAACATGCTCACTTTTCCAGAAATTCCTGCTTTCATACTTTTACCCATCCTAATCTTTGGAGAGGCAGAGCCCGTTTTCCCAGGATTCCCTTTGTTCCTTCCAACTCACCTCATTCCCATCCAGGAAGAGCTGGTCCTCATGAGGCTCCAGTTTGAATTTCTTCTTCACATCTTTCTTCTTCTTTGGCGTTCCGGGGCTATCGTCCTGAGCACAGAGAAACAGCATGGGTCATTATGGCTTTTAGAGAAATAGGATTGTTCTAGATTCTATGACCAAACCGCTTCAGTGGTCTAACCTGTTACGAACTATACAACATGTTCATAGCCTGCATATTCAGTTCATTCAATGTACGTACACTCTTCTCCTTCTTTACATCTGAAGCCTCTGCATCCTTGGCATCCTTCTTCTTCTCCTTCTCCTTCTTCCCCTTCTTCTCCTCTTCCTTGCCGCTGTCGCCCTTGGCCTTCTCTTTCTCCTTCTCTTTCTCCTTGTCTTTCTTAATGTCCTTCTCTGGCTTCTTCTTCATGACTTTCAGAGCGCGGTGGAAGAATTGCTTCTTCAGCAGCCTGGCGGGGAAGGAGAGCAGAAAAAAACATCATTAATATCAACCGTTGTCAAATATCGTTTGGCGCTTCATCATATTATTTCAGATTTAGTTTTGGGAGCCGCTGAAACCATCGGGAGCCTGAATAAAGTCCTTGTGAAAACCTTTCACATTACACACATTTTGCCCCAATTTTCTTATGCCTCGATCTTCCTAAGCACATAGGGACATCACACGAACATGAAAGTTGTAGTGAATATTGTATAGTGTGAAAGCAACTTCAGTTCTAGTGTAGGGTGGTAGTTAGTCTAACGTGGGAGTGCTGGTAGTTGTCTAACCTGTTGCAGTAGTCCACCACAGAGTCTCTGGTGGTGAACACGGCCTCCTCTCCCTTCTTTGCCTTGGCCCACTTGGAGTCCAGCAGACAGTCCACTGCCTTGGAGGCTGACAAAGGGAAACAGGCAACCATGTTCAAAATTACAGCAAAGGCAGGGACATACTGTATGTTGAAACTCAACGGCGATCATGCTATGCCAACATTCTGAAATCCTTGCCCCTGTGGATGTGTACAAAAGCTCCTCTCCAACAGACACAGCTCATGCAACAGACTGCCCACGACTGTGCAAACACATTTACTGACACTGTTGACAGAACAGGTCTGCTATGGGGCTAAAGGCATTGGGCAAATGTAAACATTGGCAGGTCAACAGTACTACTATGAGATATAGTGAGAGATTCTGGGTCAAAGGTTAACTATTCCAACCGTCAACTCAGCAGGACCGGAAGCAATAATAAATAAATGCCAACTGCTGTCTCTCACGTCAAGACAGTCATACTAAGACCCAGATTTGTCCTGACTGTTCCTGACCAGGAAAGACTTCAGGCCTTAGTTAAAGATGCACTATGCAGAAATAGTTAGCCTAATTTCAGTTCGTGGCAAAACAAGAAAGTATGGTGTAGAAAATTATTGTACCATCTAAACCGCTGTCAAATATATTTTCCATAACCAAAAACATTGTATTTTCAGCAGTTTGAAGCGTGTCTACAAAAAAACAAAAGTAAAATCTACAGAAACTAACCTTAAGAACGGAAGCATAGAAATAGTGCACATAGAAGATATCTACCGCTTCTTAGACTTGCTTTCAATGAGAATGACAGATCTATAATACAAATTGCTATGTGAATTGGGTCGGGTCACCTAAAAAAATGACATACTGCAGCTTTAAAGTCTAAAACTAGGGTTCTAAGGGTTTCCTGGTCAGGTCATGTAGTCCCCCCCCCCCCCCAAAAAAAAACAGGTTTAATCCCCTAAAAGTGCTTCTCAAACCAGTCCCCACCATGATAGCCTATTTGATGTAGGGATATTCCAACAGTACAACACCTGATTCAACTAGGCGTAGTCACGGCCTTGATGATAGTTGACTAGTTGAAGCACTTTATGTGCTAGTACTGGAATATCAAATGATGTGGACTGGCTGTGGGGACAGGCACCGACTGTCGCAGGCTGGTTTGAGAATCACTGTCCTAAATGAGTGAATAAAGGAGAGTATGAACGGAGCACTGACCGATGAAGTAGTCCACCCGGTGGCCCATCATGTTGGTGGACTTGGTGGGGCAGTTGAAGCGGAGGTACTTGGCCACCGCCTTCTCCTCCTTGGTGGGCTCGCTCACCTCCTACACACCGTGAGGAAAAGGGAAATCGGAAATGTTTGTGTGTCACTATGATGTGTTGTGTTGAAAAAAATACCATAAATATTGACTCTTCTGCTGCAACACGCTTTGCTACTCCTTTTCCCTACTAACACTTCCAGACCATAGACCAGGGTTTCCCAAACTCAGTCCTTGGGACCCCAAGGGGTGCATATTTTGGTTTTTTGCCCTAGCACTACACAGCTGATTCAAATAATCATCAAGCTTTGATCATTTGAATCAGCGGTGTTAGGGGAAAAAACTAAAACGAGGACAGAGTTTGGGAAACACTGCCATAGACAAAGACCTACACTGTAGGCCCGACAGCATTGCTACAGACAGCGACTAGGCCTCAGACCAGTCAAGCAGCAGATCAGACCATCAGCCAAGGAAAGGGGGTGGGCTTTAGGACTTCCTGCGGTGAAGTCAAGTCAATCAGCCAATCTTTATTCACAACACATAATAACATATGCCATTTAGCAGACGCTTTTATCCAAAGTCACGTGTGCATATATTTTTACGTATGGTGGTCCCGGGAATCGAACCCACTACCCTGGCGTTACAAGCACCGTGCTCTACCAACCGAGGAGGACAGGAGTAGGGTGACGTTGCCCCTAGACTCTGATCTTGGGTCAGTTTAGTATTTTCCCTACTAATGGTTAAGGTTAGAATTGGGGGAGGGAAGGCTGACATCCAGCATATGACCACGTGGTGTTGATTGACATTCATGAATCGAAGCGCTTCATATGATTTCTAAAGAAGCATTTATAAAAACAACTAAATGATGTAAAACTAGGCTATTTCACTGGGATTTCCAGAAATAGTCTTATTATTATCTTGACACGTGGGACTGTAGTTCTTGTTTGGACAACGAACACGAGCTCTATCATTGGACAATTCCAGTCACACCCCCCTCCATTTTGCTCAGTTTCATAATCTCCTGTTCTGTGCCCACTAACTGAACATGGCCCTGGTCCGACACTGAAGCCAGCACTGCCTGCCAACATGGAGGGGAATGGAGGAGCATCAGCACAATGAGATCCAGTCCTGGCTGCCGCTGCCTCTGGCCCAGCTGGCTGGCTCAGCAGCTACACGCCACATGATGAAGCAAGGAGGGCTGTGAAACAGGGTTTTGTTCAGGTATGGGTATCATCAGTCACGAAATTCAGACACACAAGGCCCCACTAAATGGAAAAACTCCCCAGTCTTTACCTGAGCCTATCCGATGACTATGAGGAGAGGGACTTAGACCCTCCTCTTTTCCCTTCTGAAAGACTGGGTTCTGTTCAGTAGGGCACGCCATAGCAAAGCATTTCGCAACAGCAAACTAAAATCTGTGTTCTTATTGGAAATATCAGGTAGTAGCTTATCTCCTCGTTTCACAACGTTGTCTCGCTAGTCCCTACTGAACACAACCCATTACTGGCCAACTCCAGAGCCCCCCCCCAACTGTCTAGTAGTTGATGAGGATGCCAGCTATCAAACCTGGGTTGTGTTTTGTTCAATGTTTATGCTCACAGAAAGTTCACTTCACTCATCACGGTAAAGCAACATTGTAATAAGTTATTCATAACAGGTGTTTCCGTTACCATATCATGACATCATGAGAGACAGATAGAGAAAAAAAAGAGAGTGAGAGCAAACAGGATATAATGGGATAGATATAATTCCAACTATTGCATAATAACAATGTATCCTGTTCCTCCAGCCTGGAGAAAGAGATATGGAATATTATGCAATTTTACGACTGACAGCCAAGGTGTAGCCTACCATCATGTGGTCCTCTGTAGCTCAGCTGGTAGAGCACGGCGCTTGTAATGCCAGGGTAGTGGGTTCGATCCCCGGGACCACCCATACACAAAAATGTATGCACACATGACTAAGTCGCTTTGTATAAAAGCGTCTGCTAAGTGGCATATTATATTATTATCAGCGGTTGTTGATGCATGTCAAGGTGATGTGAACCTGTTTCATAATTTGACAATGACCAGAAGGCCTGAATTGTGTGTAATCGATTCCATTACACTACAGCGATGTATGTTATCGTCAGGTTGTCGAGTTGTATGAAGTGTGTCGGCATGAGTTTGTCTCAAACAAAATTAAGAGGGACTGACCACAAAGAAAACTAGTCCACCCTTACTGGAAAAAGTATTGCAAATTTGTACAATGACCAATGTACCTCGAAAGAAATCATGATGCAATCTAGCTACGTCTAGTTAAACTACGTCATCGATTAGAAAAATGAGACTGACTATTCTCGTGCAGCCATCAAACATCAATTAATGAGGATGTGCTGGCGCATCAATGGCATTTGGCTTGCCAAAACAGTAACGTTAGCTAGCTATTTATTCATGCCAAAACACGCCTTGGCTTCACATCTGGTTGCCCGCCATGCAAACGCAGCTTGCTTTACTATCATTTTGACGGTAACGTTAGTAACTGGTAACAAAGCTAGTTGGCAATGGGTTTGCACTTGCTTTCTCTGCCTGGTTTCTGATACCCCCGACAGAGTTAGGAGCTAACGTAGTTAGTAGAAGCCTGGCTAACTAGCAAATTGTAAATTCCTCCTCTTCAGCTAAATGTGTTACTTAACCCGGTAACTTTTGCTAACTAATGTTCTGAACTAACTAGGTAACGTTATTGCTCTTTTAAATATTCGTGTTACAGACAACGGTACTGCAAAATGACTTCCTGCAAAATAAAATATTTAAGTCGTTAGCTAGCTAACGAACAACAGCTGCTAGCACAGCTTTTCGCCTATCAACAGCAACGATTCGCCAGAAACATTCCCTTACTAGAAAACTAGTCTGTTGCGGGAAATATTGCAATCTCCAAAAGGAGAAGAGTTTTAATAAACTCTCTGTAATATATCCAAGCAAAAACTATCTTCTTCCAGTTAGCGTTAAAATTATTTTACCTGGATCCGTTTCTTATGCCTCCTGCGCTCCGCCATGATTCTCCAACACAGCTCGTCTGATGTGTGATCACGTAGGACGTACGGGTAGTATCGCGAGAGCAAAATGGCCCAACGCAGTACGTTCCAAATAGGTTACTGCTATCCAGCAATCTTGGGACGTCCCTGCCCTAAAACGCAACCTTAACCCCTACCCTTAGCCGAACCTTAACCATAAACCTTACCTAACCTTAACCATTTTAAATGTAAACTTCAATGGGGTAGGATACCGGGTAGCATGGAACTTTCCAAATACCCTTTTTCTGTCTTGAAAGGTGAGTTTCTTCAAGAAGAGACCCTTGTTTGAGAAATTAAATCGAATTAACCACCTTGTAATAATAATGTTATATTATGGTAATTATATTTGGCTACTGTTAGTATCAAAGCATGTGTTTAGAATTTGAAATAGCCTTACCACCACTGTATCTCAAATTATTCAAGGGTGTTCATTCTAATGTAGACAGGCGGACTGTCCCTCTGGCATTTCGGGCAAATGCCAGATGGGCTGATAAAAAATGATGCCCAGTGGGCCTGTCTAACTAGTTTTTTGTTGTTGCTAAAAATGATAATTATCTGGCTAATAATGGGGGCCTCAAGGAAAAAAATGGGCCGGTGTGGGGGCCTCAACAAACAAAATAAGCCATGTGGGGGCCTCAATAATAAAAATGGGCCGGTGTTTTAGAAATGCCAGGTTTCTGGTCCCAGTCCGCCCCTGAATGTAGATAAACTGGATGTAGCCCAACTGTACAATTTCAGATAAAGTGTAGCTATCTACATATACATTATTTCTATGCTTGATGTTCAGTGTCCATTGCTACCTCAAAATTGTTCCCATTGTGAACCAGAAAACATAGAAAACGTATCAAAAACTGTGATTTGATAGGCTTCATTGTGAAATTAAATTCAATCATTCATATTCATAAAAAGTGGTAATATCACACATATTCATTGAAAAGCATTATGCTACAAAAACACAATGAATGCATTTTCATTTACATAATACAGTTTATTTTTTCCCCAAACACAGAGGTCATGTGTATATTCAGTGTTCTTCCCATTCTTCATCAAGCCACATCTACATTTCTAATGGCTTGGGGTTTATTGTCTCCATCTTGAATCTGAAACATGGTGGGAAAAAAGTACCAAACATTTGAACTGGAACTAAATACATACAAAAAAATGCCATCATATCCCTAGCAGTTTTAAACACTGTAGGACACACTAGAAAACGGAACACCATTGCCTGATGGAAATGGTTAGCAGCTTAAAAACAGCTCTTAGGGCTGAAACACTTGCTGAACCCTACTCCCTATACACTTCTGAAGTTCTGCAGGGATTGGACAGGTGTCTCCAACACAGCGAAGATTCCATCTAGTCAATCAGAGGGCAAGACGCAGCTTTTACTGTATCACTTATACCCGTCCAATGCTTAAAGATCTACATGAAGTCCTTATGGGGTATGTGTCTATATGTATGTGTTAGGGACTAGTGGTCAACTTGGATCTGAGCCACTGGCCGATGACTCTTCTCCCACTCACTGATGCCTTAGGCAGTTCCACTGCTGGCCAAGGGGGGAGAGGGGTTGTCAGTCTCTGGGAGGGAGTCTGTTGGTTTCAGGCCCTCTGGGTCTCTGGTGCACGGGCTGCCCATCATCTCCACACTGTTACAGTTAACAGGGGAGCTGATCTCTGACGATCGACCTCCTCCTGCCTTCTCAGGGGCGGCCTGCAGGGCGGCGGCGAGCGGGAGGTTCATCATGTAGAACATGCTGCCTAGCCGTCGAGACACCTGGGTGGGACAGAGAGAGAGATGCCATGAGGTATTATAATAAGCAATGTGCTGAAACAATGTGCATAATTACTTTCTTTCCGAAAATGGTTTGTAAACATAATCCATTGAAAATGAAATAGAGAGCACTCCAAAATCTTTTGGTCCGAATTTGTGAGACCAACTGTTTGATGGTTTGCATACCTGTGATCGTATCTTGAGTGCCGGGCCCAGCTTCAGTCCCATCATGTCCAGTAGATGGTCTTCGGTCAGAAGTGGCAACGTCTCCCCATCTATCATGTGGTCCTTGAACGTCTGCAGGGAATAATCAGGTAAGATGAGGAGGAGTATAGGAATGTTTATCCAGTTAGAAGAATTTCCTTTAAAAGGTAGACGCAGCAGTATGACACAGCGAGGCAACTTTCTATTTACAAAAATCATCAACAACAGAATTCAATCCTGCCAAGTGGGAATGCCTCGAGGGAGGGTGCAAACTGTTAAGAGACAACAGTGACTGTCCTGGCAGATTTGAATTCTGTTGTTGTTTATATTTTTAAGCAGGAAGTTACTCTATTGTTTTTGATGATGACCAGGAAAAGACACCAACCTGAGCATATTCAGAGCAGCTGGGTATGTTGTTGATGAAGGTGTACACATCATCCACTGTCCACTTCCTAAGGTCTTGGACAGAGGACATATCTTCTCCGTTGAGAAAGAGATTGGGGTGCCCTGATCAAAACAAAAATCAAAGTGTGTTAGCACACATACGGCTCACATCTGTCACATCTGTCGTTGGTCAAATAAATGATACAAATCAAATCAAAGACAGCAGCACAACCCCTGAATGGTTTGATCAAAAACAAGACTGTAGAAAGTAGACCCACCATGAGGGAACATGTAAGGCATGCCTGGGATAGGTCCACTGGCGAATGGATACTGGAACGTAGAGCATTGGCCAGGCATGTCTTTGTCGCTGGCGCCACTGTTGCAGTTGGTGACGTCAGGGCAGCCATCTTGACTGTTTATGCAGGCCTTGCGCAGGCCTTGCTCCTCCTCCTTGTAGCTCTTCCTGCTGCCCGCTGAGAGCTGTGTGTCCATTTTGGTTGGATGTTGTTTGCTGGCCGCCTCCCCTCCCATGTCCATTTTCCCCTCCGCCTCTTTCTCCTCTCCCGAGGCACCGCCGGGACTCTGCTCCACGCTCTTGTCCTCCGATTGGCCCTTTGGTCCCGATGCGTGGCTCTCTGCGCTCTTGTTATTAGTTGCCCTGCGACCGGCCCTGCGGCTCCTTTCCCTCTGCAGCGTGCTGATTGGTGGATAGGGGCTCGAGGACATCAGGAGACTGTTGGCCTGCATTTCCTCCAGGGTGGTGCGGTGGACGAAGACGTCGTGGCCGTCTGGGAGGCGCTGGCGCCCTCGGAACGCCATGGCGTTAGACGGATACATCATGGGCGCCTCCATACCCATCAGACCCTTCTGATGCGCGTTCTCCATCTCCTTCTGGTGGAGAATGGCATTCATCTCCATCCTGAAAAACAACCAACACACATCAGTTAGACATAACAATACACCAATCAGACATAACAACACACACCAGTTAGACATAACAATACACCAATCAGACAAAACAACACACTACATGTAGACATAACAACACACATTTGTAGGTCACATGGGCTCTGTATATGGGCTCTGTATATAATCAAATCATATCTGCCAACTGTTCTGTAATGTAGTGCATGGAACAGGCCCTTGGTATTAAGTTGAAGGGGGTTTCCAGAGCCCTACTGTTCATGACGTGTACTTTGACATGCCCTGTGACATGCAGCTGCAGGTCAATGTCAGACCGTACCTGGCGATGTTCTGCTTGTGGATGAGCTCCTGTCGCCGGGCAACTGTCTCCATGGGCTCTGAGGGCATGAAGCTGTAGCCAGCTCCAGGGAAGCCCCTGCCAGGTATGCCAGGGTGTGGGGGCATGGGCGGACCCAGGTGACCCCCCATGTGCATCTGCCTGACCTCAGAAGATACCATCTCAGAGGGCGGAGCTAGTTCTCTTTCCAGGAATCGGGGCTCAAACTGGGTTGGCACCCCCTGTAGCCTCTGCTGTCCCTGGGCCAGGATCTGAGGAGTCATGGTCATCTGGTTCCTCATCATCATCTCCTGCCGTTGACGTAGCTCTGTGAGGCAACACAGCACAACACCATTCAGATTCAGAGTGTTTAACAGTCACGTGTACAGGGTTGCAGGTGTGATTGCAGGGTACAGTGAAAATCTTACGCTTCGAGCTCCAACATGCAAGACCGGGTGAAATATCTAACCTTCTGAAATACCTGTCCTTTCGGTGGTGGATGTGTCACGCCATTTAGAAGTCGATACAGAACTAGGGCCCAAAAGGTTCTACTGACTATGTGAACTGACCAGGTAACGCTCTGGGCCCCGGCAATTACCTAGATCAGTGAATAGCTCCTGGCTCTAAGGTATGGAAGAGTATGAAAGCTCTTGATTAGGTTGAGTGAATTTTCTAGGCAAGGATGAACGAGCTAATGCCCAGGGCTTTAACTCAGCAGGCTAACACAGCCATGAGACATGCAGATTCAAACCAGCTGGGTCAGCCTTACCTCCAGCAGACATGCCGTTGACCAGGCGGTACCAGTGTTTCTCATCCAGAGCCCCCTGCTCCCCCATCGCTGACATCTTCCTCAGCTGCTCCCTCGGGGTCATGGCCCGACCTTTGACCTCTAGGAAACTGCCTCTCTGTGAAACCGAGATGAGGAGATTAGTATTTAAGACCAGTGTTTCTCAACCGGTGGCCCGTGGACAGGCACCGGTCCCTGGGATGTTGCTGACTGGTCCCTCAGATGGTTAGCGAATAGTGATTTAGTTTGTATTCAAGTACTCGTTTTTAATCTAATTGGTCCTTTAAGAAGGAAGGAACCTTGCTTACATATACCTGGTACAGGAAAGACGGCACTTGGCCAGAACAAAAAAAAAAAGTAAAGTGGTGTTGAGCAGATCAGTGTTAATTAGTCTCAGTTAATTCCCCTTTTTGGCAACCTTCTTTAAATTGCTTGTCATTTTCATCTTTCACCACTAGGAGGCAAGCATGACCTATACTTCAAAAGGCCCTCTATGATTAAACGATGGCTTACTGTTGCTGTGCTGCTAATGTAACTGAACAGATAGATATCAAACATGGGTGGTTGGTGTGACTCAAGACCGTGTTAGCCCAATTAACTAAGTAGTAATGGCGCCGGAGGAGATGGCTGCCATTTTACAGCCCCCCTAACAAACTGCATGGTTGGTTAAGGGCTTGTAAGTAAGCATTTCACTGTAAGGTCTACACCTGTTGTGTTCGGCACATGTGCCAAATAACATTTTATTTTATTTTATTTGAAGTTATAGCCCAAGAGGGATGCAACATAAGTCCTCAGGTCTCAGAAAAGATTAGGCTACTGCTCATCAGTGATCACGTGTACTGTAGTTCAACAAACCCTTCCGCCACAATACTACCACACCTAGAACACTTAATAGGCATGTGAGGATTGCTAATCATTGCTAAGCTAAGTTCTCATCAATGGTCTTTAAGGGAGAGAGAGAGACTGATGACATTGAGATTTTAAAAAAAGAACCTGTTGTCAAAGTTGACTGTGAAGTTTTGGCGGAGGGACCAAAGCTATATCGAGGCTCGAGGAATACTGTCTAGACTCTGGATTCACCTCAGAACAGAAGATCTCTACACATGAAAATGTTCTGCCTCCATATACCTCTTTCTCTCTGCTACAAGAACATTCCTTTTAAATATCACAATTTTACACACACGCATACACACAAAATGTGCATGCGTACGCGCACACACACACACACACACACACACACACACACACACACACACACACACACACACACACACACACACACACACACACACACACACACACACACACACACACAGACACACACACACACACACATAGTGCATATCATTGCAGTTTGTCATTACAGCTGATTTCCTTAGTCACCTCTGATTAGCCTCTTGTGAATAAATCCCCTTATTAAATATAACACAGAACAGACAGAGCTTTAATCCAGAACCATTATGGGCTGTAGATTTATATCCATAAGGAAATGGATTCCAATTTTTAACACTTACTACAGGAAAAATATTATGTCAGAGGGCACTTGTTTTTTTTAAATGCAGAAATATAACTGTGGTCATGGCGTAACTGAAATTACGTAACTGAAATCTCTTCTTTATGGAGTGTGTGTGTGTGTGTATGTGTGCATGCATGTGTGTGTGCATGCATGTCTCTCTGTCTGGATACATCTATGGGGTAACCTATAACAACACACCCCTGAGTAATACACTTGCCTAAATATCCCCCCCCCCCCCCCCCATAAGATCCAGCCTACCCCTAACCATTAGCAGCCCTTAGCCCCAGTCAGTTGTGTACCGTATTGCCCCACAGTCCCCTAAAGTTCCCTCACAGACCCATCTAATCTGGGCTCCAGTAATCCTCCTGTTAGTCCCATCTAGTCTGCTAGGCCCAGAGAACATCTGCTGACCCGCGTGTCTTCCAACCTGGCCCTCCCTCCCTCCACTATCCGATTAGCTAAATCCTGACTATACAGCACTTTAAAGGGATGTGTTAGAGGTAATCCGGGCGTTTAGGAGTTTTACCTCAGCAAACCTTGCCTGTAAGCACACCAGACAATACACCTTGAGTGATAAGCCTATTAACCCTAATCAGCCCCTTGAGATGTCCTGAAAACACCTTGGGGGATAAATCTGGTGGAGGGAAATCGGTTTATGGAGAAATATGTGGCGCCACACGCATGCATGGTCTCCCCTGGTCCCTGCCATCAACGTCAGTCTACACACGACCTTTTATCTTCCTTCTATTAAACTCAGCAAATATACACAGGGACAGATAGAGGTAATAAGAGAGAATGTTTAAAAATCCATACTGGATTAACACATGGACAGTTCAAGGTTTATCTGTCCTCCTCAGGTAGCCTGACTGTACATTTACATGTACAAAAAAAACGTTTTTTTGGGGGATCTGGGTTGAGTACAGTATTTTGTGTGCTAAGAGTTTGCGTGTCAAATGTCTCTATACAACCAAATGTGAGTGTGAGAAAATGTATTGCGTCATAGTGTCATTTTGCCTGTGTGAATGTCAGTATAAATCAAATCAGATTGTATTTGTCACGTGCACCGAATACAACAGGTGTAGACCTTACCGTGAAATGCTTACTTACAATATCCTTAACCAACAATGCAGTTTTAAGAAAATAGAGTTAAGAAAATATTTACTAAATAAACAAAAGTTTTAAAAAGTAACACAATAAAATAACAATAACGAGGCTATATACAGTGGGTACCGGTACCGAGTCAATGTGCGGGGGTACAGGTTAGTTGAGGTAATTTGTACATGTAGGTAGGAGTAAAGTGTGTATGTCTATGCGTGTGTATAAATGAATGAAAACTCACCCAGTTAGTGACCAAACCAACGCTTCGAAACAACAAACAGACTACAGTACGTTCAAGCCTATCCCTACTAGTATTACGGCACTACCAGTCAGAAGAGGTGATACTAGTCTTTGAGGTATAGCGCTCAGCTGGAAAAACAACTTGTACTCAGTAATTAATCTTATACAGGAAGAGTAGGGCTTGCATGAACTTGAACCAAGAGGAGTTTGAGGGAAGCCAGAGAGGCCTGGCCCCTATTGCAGCACACAGTAGGACTTGCCATTCAGCAGAGCAACTACTGTACAATTCAGTAAAATGCCTGTTGCAATCTGGTTCAAGTCATCAGTCAACCTACCAGGGTATTTACAAACAGAACTGGAACTAAATCATCCGCGTGTATTGATCACATCTTTATTATTGTTGCAGAAATCTGCTCTAAAGCTGTATTCACACCCATCGGATGAAGTGATCATAATATAATAGCCATATCTAGAAAAAAAACTAAGTTCCAAAGACTGGAACTAAAATTGTGTATAAACGATCACACAAGAGGTTTTGCAATGATTCCTATGTTAAAGATGTGAAAAATATTTGTTGGTCAAACAAATTCTGAGCCTTCATATTCATGCATAATGGACCAAATAATGAAAGACAAGCACTGTAGTTTTGAGTTCTACAAAGTGGGTGTGGAAGAGGTGAAAGAATTGTTGCTATCTATAAATAAGAACAAACCACCTTGTACCGACAGCCTGGATGGTAAATTGCTGAGGTTGATAGCGGAATACTATTTAAGCCTAGAAGAGTGTGCCCTCAGACGTGGAGGGAGGCAAAGGTCATTACGACACACAAGAATAGCAGAGCACCCTTTAATGGTTCAAACAGCCAACCAATCAGCCTGTTACAAGTGCTTAGAAAACTTTTGGAAAAAATTGTGTTTGATCAAATGCAAAGTTATTTTACAGAAAACAAATTAACAACAGACTTTCAGCATGCTTATAGGGAAGGGCACTGAACATGCTCGGTCGGCACTGACACAAATGACTGATGATTGGCTGAAAGAAATTGATAGGAAGAAGATTGTGGGAGCTGTTTTGTTAGACTTCAGTGCAGCTTTTGATGTCATTGATCATAACCTATTGCTGAAAAAACTTAGGAGTTATGGATTTGCACCCTCTGCCTTATTATGGATTGAGAGTTACCTATCTAATAGAACACAGAGGGTATTCATTAATGGAAGCCTCTCTCATGCAAATTCAGTTGAGTGTGGTGTACCACAGGGCAGCCGGCTACGGCCATTATTGTTTTCTGTTTTTACAAATGACCTTCCACTGACCTTGAATAAAGCCTGTGTGTCTATGTACGCTGACGACTCAACAGTATAAACGTCGGCTGCAACAGTAAAATAAATAACTGACACCCTTAACATAGAGCTCCAGTCAGTTTTAGAATGGGTAACTAGCTAAATGGATGGTGCTAAATATCTCGAAAACTAAAAGCATAATTTTTGGGACAAATCACTTGCTCAACGCTAATCCTCGTTTAGATATATTATTGAATAATGTGGCTATTGATCAAGTGTAGGAGACTAAACTGCTGGGTGTAACCCTAGATGGCAAGCTTTCATGGGCAAAACATATAGACTCAATTGTTGCTAAAATGGGAAAAGGCCTGTCCATGATAGGGCGTTGCTCTGCCTTCTTGACATCTCAGTCGACCAGACAGGTCCTATAGGCCCTAGTTTTGTTGCACCTGGACTACTGCCCAACTGTGTGGTCATGTGCGGCAAAGAAGGACATACAGTGGGGAGAACAAGTATTTGATACACTGCCGATTTTGCAGGTTTTCCTACTTACAAAGCATGTAGAGGTCTGTAATTTTTATCATAGGTACACTTCAACTGTGAGAGACGGAATCTAAAACAAAAATCCAGAAAATCACATTGTATGATTTTTAAGTAATTCATTTACATTTTATTGCATGACATAAGTATTTGATCACCTACCAACCAGTAAGAATTCCGGCTCTCACAGACCTGTTAGTTTTTCTTTAAGAAGCCCTCCTGTTCTCCACTCAGTACCTGTATTAACTGCACCTGTTTGAACTCATTACCTGTATAAAAGACACCTGTCCATACACTCAATCAAACAGACACGCAAGGTCCCCCTGCTCAAGCCAGCGCATGTCCAGGCCCGTCTGAAGTTTGCCAATGACCATCTGGATGATCCAGAGGAGGAATGGGAGAAGGTCATGTGGTCTGATGAGACAAAAATAGAGCTTTTTGGTCTAAACTCCACTCGCCGTGTTTGGAGGAAGAAGAAGGATGAGTACAACCCCAAGAACACCATCCCAAC